TGGACTGGTCAGCGTGGGGTCCTTCTCCATCATCCTGAACAGCATCTGCATAATCCTTGCCAGACAGAAGTGCATGTTGATAAGCAAAACAGCTCAGACATGGCGATCTTGGCTGTAAAGCCATCTCTCCGCGATTGTCCTATTTGGATAGTGCCACCATGAATAACACGGTCGCTCATCCAGATACTCCAGATCGTGCTGGTGGTCGAAAGCTTCTTGCTCCAAGCGATTCCACACGTAGGACAATCTTGCATCACATTCGCATGCACAGCATTGGTATCCACGGGGACCGACGCACATCAGACCCTTGAAGAAGTCAAAGACCCACAGCAGGTACATAAAAATGCAGCACATCTCAGAGGCCTGCCAGAGGCGGCCACTATTCTTGGACACTTGATGGGTCCTTTCATTGCCCGAAAACGGTACTAGGCTCATAAATCCCATCTTGGGCGGGCTACCAGGCCTCCCTGACTTGTATGGAAGATTGTCTACATTCGAGTCCTTGTTTGAATACACGTTATACACACATTTTACATACAGAAAATATATATATATATGCATCTTATTGTTTAAGGAACCGTCTTATAAACCAGAGGACCACTTGTTTTTACAAAACCATGAATAATCATAGGAGGCGGTTCTCTTCTTCTTCTATCCTAAACCCCTACACCTTGTACGGCGTATGCATCGAACTAAAGGCCTGGGCAATGTGAATCTGCTCATGGTTGATGAACCTTGCATGCGCTTTTGCCAGACTGCTTAATAAGGCCATGGAGCAAAATCACGATCACCCCTGTGCACCGCAAAATACAAGGGAACCCACATGATAGGTACTCCCAGCTTGGATGTGAAAACTTGGGTCACAGTCACCTGAAAAAAGGGGCGTGCTTGATTCATGCAAGGAGCTCTTCAATATGTTCACCTTCAAGCTCTTCCTGAGTTTCCCGGATGCAAACACAGGGCCACATCGTGAAGCCACGCACCGGGTAGAAGCAAGAAAAGAACCTGCACGCGGTCACAGAAAAAACCGGAACATCCTTTGGTCGCTGAGAAGCGGCGTTGCGAAATGGATGTATTCTTAGCCCAACAGACACCGCAAGATCATGTCTAGGAGTCCAAAAAACGAACCATACTTGTGATGCAATGGACACCGGAAAACTTCAAGCCCTTGTCTGTAACCCATGTTAGCCAAATTTCTAAGGGACGTCAACCCTGATACATACATGCCAACTGGCTTCTCAAAAAACTACAAACCCTATCATGTCCTTTGACTCCCCACACATGCCTAGCTGCGGTACCTCGGGATACCCCTTTGAGAGAAACCCCATACCCCTAAAACGTGCACCCCAACCGTAAAGCCCCCCCTAAAACCTAAACCTCAAACCCAGGATTCAAAAGCCCTCCACTGCATTGCAGATGTATACTTGGGGATCGGGCATTGACTAGAATCCTTATATAATCCCTACAGGCCCATGATATATTCCCTTGGTCCCTGCTGCTCCCCTGTAAGTATAGTAGACGCCTTGGCACTGAAGAGCCATAGACCACCCAGCCTAGCAGGTAGAGCTTGGTCACGCATGTGGGGTTTATTGCCATTACTTAGGGTTTGGGGGCGGCTTTTGGATTTTCAAATCTTAAGATTAAGGACATTGGGGAACCCTAAGTTATGGTATGTTTATATGCGCTTGAGGGCTTAGGGTTCTGGGTCTAGGGGCTACATGGCGCGGGCTTTAGAGTTAAGAGATGTGAGGCCTGGGGTTGACACATATGTATATATATATACATATATAGATATGATGCCTATGTACCTTCATATTCATATGTCTCTATTTGTACGTTGACTTATATGTATGAATGTATGTAAATGTCATCGAGCTATATGAAGCATTTGGGATGTCAAAAGTAGACCAACAGTATGCAGATGCCTTCCAACAGGACCTCCCGTTCTTCCCCTAAATCCTAAACCTTGAGCCAAAGCCCTCTCTAAACCCAGCCCCCAGTAAGCTTGGAAAATCCTAGATCCTATCGACATGCAGCCTAGACCCGAAACTCTAAATCCTAGCCCTGAACCCTAAACCCCCACATCCAAAGTCCGTCAGCCGCAAGGATCCTTGTTAAAGCAAGGCACCGCGGAAGCCCATGACTAGCTGCCCAGCTTTGCGTCACGGGCCCATTGGCGCGGTTCAGGGTTTAGGATTCAGGGTTAGGGCAAGAAACTTCACGCTTGGAGTATAGCTTAAAGGCTAGGTTGGTAATTAGGCAAGGGTCCGTATATGTGGTAGCTTCACAAAATTGGTGAACCCCAAAATATACCCCATTATCCTTTTCATGTGGCCCAAACTCGTACCTTGAATTTTGGGAAACTATCATATGCATATATATATATATATACATACACATTTTTCCCCAATCTACTACTCTTAGTGGGCCGGGCCTAACCCAGTATAGGGTTTCAAGCTTCAAGGTTTAGAACTACAGGGTTCAGGGCTTAGCTTGCTTTCGCATGCTGTTTGCCTTCTGCTCAGCTTGCTGCAATCGGAATGCTGTACCAGGGTTGAGGTGTGGATTATAGGGGATATATAGGGTTCAGGATATAGAATGTAATTGAATGTAGAGTTCGCTGTCCCAGCAGGACCCCATTTCGCGCCCTGCGAATCCGCACAGCTCCTTGGCCTGGAAATGCTGGGCGAGCCCACACTGCTGTCAACTACAGATGGTACTTTCCCCAAATAGGTGGACCCCAATATAGGCCCCAATATACAAAAGTCCTTATTATAGGGACCCCTAAAATGGTACCCCTTATTTTGGGAAACCCCTAGATCTTAGAATAGGTCTTTTGCAAGTTTATCATGGGTGGCGTACAGCATGCAGGCTATACTTTCCATGGTTGAAAGTGGCCCCAGGCTGAGCCAATGTCAGCATAGGAAACTTGCAAGCGTCAATAGTGCTCCTTTGCAGGTATTGAACACAGCGTCAGCTTTCAAAGTAGAGACACACACACACACAACCAAGATGCCGGCGCAGGGTGATTGAAAAGGCTGAAAGTACCTCCAACACTGATTTGATCACATTCAGCCGAGGCCGAAATCTGCAGCACCAAGAGGATCAGCACCAATGGTTAGATGCTGAAAAAAGTACCAGCCATAGTACATATCAGTATTGAAACAGCCGTGATCATCGTCCAGAGAACTAGTTGCAATCATAGTCAATTCATGCGGAAAGGAAACACACACATGAGGATTTCCCAAAATTGGGGAAACAAATTTGGGGGGTCCTCATAATACCGACTATGTTGGGGTATATTTTGGGGTTCCCCTATTTTAGGAAACAGTTTCCACATGGTCCATAAGCATGCCAGGCTGACGAGATTGCAGGCTGGGAGAAAAGAGAAGACTCCATCACCTAAACCCTTAGCCCTAAACCCCAAATAGTAGTTTCCATTTTCTTTTCCATTATCCCTACATAATCCCTAAATAAGCCATATTAAGGTTGTATTAGGGTTATATTGGGGTTATATAGGGATCATGTAGGGATAATGAAAAAGAAAATGGAAACTACTATTTAGAAGCCTTCTGTCAAGATCTGCGCAGAGCAGCAATGATCTACACTATACCAAGAGGGCTTTACAAAAGTATTTCTTAGCAAAGATCTACCCAACATGCGCCACTACTAATTTGGTATTCTAAATGCATGAATGGGGGGGGGGACGCTATGTGGACACCCAAAAAGAGTACCCCTAATTTTGGGATGCCCCCCTTGATGCGTTTCATGCAAGTTGCCTCCATGCGGCTCGGATTCAGAAAAGCTGCAGCAGGCCATGCCATTCTTTGCTGCAGTAGTGTGAAGAAAATATTAGCGCAGCAAGAGGCACAGCACTGGGAGTCATACTGACAAACAGCCACTCGGAAGGGGGGAAACCGTTTTCTCGCCCTTCCGCACAGCAAGGACGAGCGCAAAAAGATGGAAATTGATCACTGCCTTTCTGCGCCAACTACTTGTGGGGGTCGCGGGACTTAGTAAGTATACTCACAACCCCTGCAAACCATGCAGTAACTTCAGTTTCTCCCCATTATTCATACACCTACGTACTAAATCCCCTTGGCCCTAAGCCCTAAATAATGTAGTAGCTTCCATTTCTGCTCCACTTTTAACCTACTTGCCCTAGGAGTACTTACTAAGTCCCCCCGACCCTCCAAGTACCACCCTTGTTTCAAGGTTGTATGCGCAGGCTTGGCATGCAGTACAGTGGATGGAGTTCTTTCAGCACCCTCTTTTGCCCTAAACTGGTTCACGGTTTAAGGTTTAGGGTTTAGGGCTTAGGGCCTTTGACCTTAAGGTTTTAGGGTTTAGGTTCTAGGCCTAGGGAATGGCTCGCATGATTCACGTATGCCTCTCGCATACCCTGTAGAAAATATCTCCCCGTAGGTGTCTCGCCTCCGGCGGTTGGTCCTTACAAAGTGGTGTAAAACTTAGGTTGGACCCCTACCCACTACTAGCGTTGGCAGTTATACACCGGGGTCACTATATATTCTTAGTACCACTATCACGGGGTGGCGCAGAACTCAATGTAAAACTTCCTCCATCCGCCGTAGTGCTTACAACCGCATCCTTTAGAGGTCGAGGCAGCTTTGGCCGTTGCACCGGAGAACTTTGGGCAGGGTATCGGGTTTGGGGTTCAGGGTTTAAAGTTTAGGGTTCAGAGTTTAAATGGAGCTCAGAGTTTAGGGTTCGCGGCTAAGGGCTTAGAGCCTAGGGTTTGAAAGCTTTCTAGTCTAGGGCAGCCAAAAAACTCATTGACATAAAGATCATCTTTGCAGCGCACGAGATTAAATAGACTTCTCGGGGGGAAACTTTTGTCTCTAAAGCCTAAACCCTGAACCCTAAACCCTAAACAGGCCTTTGTGATCACCAGGACAGGTCCAGCAGATCTATTCTTGAAAAGGATTTGACGTTCAAACGTGGGACCTCCCCTTTCTAACCCTTAAAAAAATGACCTCGATTCACACGTTGGTGTCCCCGATGCTTTTGGAACCTGCAGCCACAACGTCAAAGCCTAGCAATGGCCAACTCAGACAACAAAGACCCCTCCAGCCACACTTCCACTTCTTACCAGTCTTGCCAGCAGCATTCCCTTCAACTTCCTTGGCTTTTCACAAGCAAGGGCCAAAGGAATCTCTACCGTAGCCTCTCTCTATCCGCAGCATTCATGCCAAATGTGTACATATCCAGCCCCTACTATTCCATAACCAAGGGGTACTGGGCTCCCTGAAAGAATGACCAATCCCACCATTCTCTGCAAAGTACCTGCCTTCACCGCCAATGACTTTGACAGGCTTTCGCAACGGGAACATTGACAACCTCAGTGGTCACAGCGGGCTGGGCCAAAGGGCCAAGGGCTGGATCATATGGGGGTTCTCAGAGCAAGGTACCCTTGGGGACTCATATGGGTCCGCTTTGAAGAACCGGTGCCCGCAAGCGGCCCTCACACTTCCGCTATCCTGACAAGACATCTGTACTGCGACTACATGTCAGCCCCTGACGCAACTCGTCTCCTCAGCAAGTTCACCTGCTTGATGTACACGGTGACCTGCTTCAGCAACTATGCAACATGCTTTTGGGGAGGTTACGGATTTGAGGCTTAGGGACGCCTTGCCACTTCCATGATGCTTTTGGTCGTCGGACCCACACCTCGTAGCCCTTGCAGAAAGAGGCCGACTGCATCATGTCAATGTCCATTGGCGACAAGTAGCCTTGGACCTGCAACCGCTCGGGAAAAGTTTGACTAAATCACACCTAAATCCTAAATAGTAGTTTCCATTTTCTTTTCCATTATCCCAATATAACCCTAATATAACCCTAATATGACCCCAATATAACCCTAATATAACCCCAATATAACCCTAATATAACCCCAAAAAAGCC